TTTAAAATGTTCAAGAAAATTACTTTTCAGTTTATACCTGTAAGTTCAATGTAATTTTGTATTTCTTGAAAAACCCACTGAGGTTATAAAATTCTACAGTCCAACAATAATGCTTTGAAATCTGACTATGAATGTTATGATTGTGATTCTATTCTGTTAAAAAACACATTGTAGCTGGGTGCTCATGGCTCACATCTGTAATCCTAGCTATTCAGGAGACTGAGATCTGAGAATCATGGTTCAAATCTAGCCTGGGCAGGAGAGTTTGTGAGACTCTTTCTCCAATTAATCACCAAAAAACCAGAAGTGGAACTGTGGCTCAGTGGTACAGCATAAGCCTTGAGCAAAAAGGTTCAGGCACAGTGCCTACTCTCTGAGTTCAAGGCGCAGGACTAGCACAAAATAAAAATAAAATAAAATAATTGGTTTATGATTTGCAAGACAGTATACTTCCAATGAAGGGTAGTAAATACCTTTATTTACCTTAAGGAATAAAAGTCAAACAATAAAGATTTTCCACATATATATATATATATTAGAATTCTACTCACCAAAATATTTACTGAACTAATATGAGTTTTTACATATTACAAGGCAATTTCACCAATTTTTGTACTACATGCAGTCTAGCTGTTAGTTCTATCACACTATGAAGTTGAATTTGCATTAATATTTTATCCTTCACTTTAAGTGTACCTAACCAACAAATAAGTCAAGTCCTGATTTGAATTTTGTTGATTAGCATGAGGTGAATATTACCACACATTTATGGCACTATGGTATTTCTTTTTTTTTTTTTTTTTTTGTCGGTCGTGGGGCTTGAACTCTGGGCCTGGGCGCTGTCCCTCAGCTCTTCAGCTCAAGGTGAGCACTCTACCACTTGAGCTACAGCGCCACTTCCGGTTTTCTGGTGGTTTATTGGAGATAAGAGTCTCACGGTCTCTCCTGCCTGGGCTGGCTTTGAACCGCGATCCTCAGATCTCAGCCTCCTGAGTAGCTAGGATTACGGGCGTGAGCCACCAGCGCCCGGCTACTATGGTATTTCTATCATATAAAAACAGCAGATGCAAGTAGTTTCAATGTGTACTGTTAGGAAATGACTGGTTAAGTATTACTTTAATACTTTATATATTAATATTAATCACTCATGTTTACAATCAGCTCACAAATATTCAGAGAAGTTAACAATCGATTCTTGTAATTCAGCTTACACCACTTCCAACACACTACCACCTTTAAAAAGAGCTAAAATCAGAAATGTGATTTCCTTACATGACTACAGTGTGTGTTAACCCCTTCACCACCACCACAGACGAGATCAAGAACAGGTCTCAGCAGTCGTTCCTAAAACTGAAATGGGCAAACTTGAAAGTCAGTAACAATCATGCAAACTGAAATCAGCATTTACAATCAGCGAGCAGGTTTTTGGTTGAAAGGGGAAAGGATTTCTGATAGGGAAAAAGAACTGATTTTTATCGTTACTGTCCATTGAACTCTAGGCCTTGGACTTGCTATGTCAGTAATCTACTAGCGCTGCAAAGCCTGCTAAGAGGCACAGAATCCTCAGAAATAAATGACACACAGAAAAATACATGGACATGAAGAAAGGCTAGATTTACGCGAGAGATACTGTGTATAATTCGGGGCAGCGGTGAGCCATCCTGCAGAAGTTTGAAACAGCAGGATTTAGGTGAAAAGGCTACGGAACTCAACCCGAACTACACCAAGAAATAACGGCGCCTGGCCAAGGACTGGACGCGCCGCGCTCCCGGGAAGGCAATGCAAATTAGAGGACGCTGTCCCGCCCCGCCCCGGCCCCGCCCCCTCCCCCGCCACGCCCTCCCTCCCTCGCCACGCCCTCCCTCGCCACGCCCCCCGCCCCGGGGCGCCGCGCGCGCGTGGCCCCGGCACTCGAGGCGCCGCGCCCGCTCACGGAGCAGCCCGCACGCACGCACGCACGCACGCACGCCGGGAGCCACTTACACTGAGGAACTCGATGTCGTCTTCGTTCTCCGCCGCCGCCCTGGACCCGGCCGGGCGCGCGGGCTCCGTCATCTACGGGAAGAACCACAACACGCGGCCGGCTCAGACACGCACGCGCGGGAAGAGGCGGCGCCGCCGGCCGCACCGCGCGGCGCCCGGGCTCGGCTCGGGGAGAGGCCGCGGCCGCCCTGCGGGCCTCGGGCGCCGGACACGCGGGCCCGCTACTCACCTCCGGCCCCGGCTCCCGCGGCCGCCGCCGGCGCTTCCTTCCCGCCGCGCCCCTAGGCCGAGACCAAGCCCCTTCTCGCGACTTCTGGGCCCGCCTCCGGCGAAACGGGCGTGACACTGCTTGAGGCGAAGGCGCGGCCTGAGACCACCGCCCCGCGGAGCCCCGCCACCGCGCCGCAGCGGACTCTGGGAATTGTAGTTCCGGCCAGGCCTTGGCACGGGGGCTGACTAGGACCTTGCGCTAGAGCGCATGCGCCCCTCTCAGGCTGCTTCAGGGCTAGGCCTCTGGCTTTACGTTTGGGTATAGATAGGTTGCAGCCAAGTACGGGTCTGTCTGTGACCAACGGTGTTAAAATGCTTTTTAATATTTACGTAGATACAGCCGGGCAGGAGAGTCCGTGAGACTCACCTCCAGTAAACCACTCAACCGGAAGTGGCGCTGTGGCTCAAGTGGTAGAGCTGGCATTGAGCTGAAGAGCTGAGGGACAGCGCCCAGGCCCAGAGTTCAGGCCAGGACCGCAAAAATAAATACATAAATACATAAGTACATCTATTAGCTCCCTCGCCATGGTACTTTTAATTGACATTTACATGGGTATCATGTGCCTATCCAGAAATCCTACAGCATAGGCACTGGAAACTAACTGCATATGCAAGTAGAATTCCTCTAATATTTAAAAATGCATCAAGGAGAAACAGAACATCAAAATATACCACCTTGGCAGGCCAACAATCCAAAGGTGTTTGCAAGTTGTTAAAAGCAGTTAAAAGTGGTCAGAAAATGCAGAGTACATCAAGGTATCTCCTGTGTGGTGGAGCTCAGAAAGCACAGAAGAGGAATAGTGTCCTTTCTGAGAGGATTAGGCAAAGCCCCAGCACCCAGAAGTCTAATACAGAGCCTGGCTGCTGCAAACTGAGCATCAGAATGCTGTTGACTTGTTTTTGCTGCACTGGTTTTGTACTGAGAATATCCCGCCCAGTCAGAGAACAGAAATATGGAAATGGACTGTGTGGATAAAGGAATCATACAAAACCAAAATGGAGTATGATTTGAAGCAGGAAGAGAATTTTCCTCCACTCACCTCTAGTTCACATTCAGAATTACTTATTAAATCATTCTTTCACAACTTAAGGTTCTTCTTTAATCACATCCTCAATTATTTTTTTTTCTTTTTGCAACTGCTGGGGCTTGAATTCAGGCCCTGGGCACTGTCCCTGAGCTGCTTTTGCTCAAGGCTAGCACTGAACCACAGGTCCACTGCTGGCTTTTTCTATGTATGTGGTACTAAGGAATTAAACCCAGGGCTTGAAGCATCCTAGGCAAGCACTCTACCACTGAGCCAGCTTCCCAGCCCTCAGTTCTTACATACATGAACAGATAGCTTATGTGAGGATACATATGTGTACCTCCAATGGGTTTCTGGAACCCTATTCAATAATTTTGTTGATTTTGTTATTTTGGAACTCATTTGTGAACAGTTTATAAAACAAAATAATTTATTCTGCTATTGATAAAACTAACTATATTTCAAAATAAAGTTCTAGTTGAGTACTATAAATATGTTTTGTACAGGCAATTTTATTTACCTTTAGTAGTCAATATTTACATTAGCAGGATTTTTTAAGGAAATAGCATTCACTTCAATAAAAACTATTCTGTATTAAAATGCTAAATGTCTTCCTGTATATTGTCTATACAGAGTATATTGTATATTGTCTATACAGAGTATAGCTATTTCAGTACAAACTAGCTAGCTAGGAGATAATGTCTCCATGGATGGGTGAAGTAGCTGTCCACCCCCCCAAAAAAAAGATTCCCCTCAATATTCTACAGTAAAAAACAAACAAAATGCCTTTTTTTTCCAATGGAGTTTACTTTTAATTGTAAGTAGCAAATGTTACATGAGTTATTTCCGTAAGAACATTTACTTTGCACAATCATGTTTTTATCAAGCAACATGTATGGAATGTTCCAGGGTCATTGTTATGACCTTCGTAAGTACTGTAGCCTCTTCTCCAAGTTTCAAAGGTGACCTTGTACACAGAAGGAGGAGAGCCTCCAAGTGCAGAGAGGTCACCAGTACAAGTGTGACATCCACTGAGAAGCCTTTGGAAAAGGCTTTATCTTTTGTTGATTTACAAAGTGGCATTCTTCTTTTTGTGTAATTATCAAATACATAGTGATTTTCCCAATTTATTTTTCTTCTACAATGAAACAAAACTGATTTTTCCAGAAGAGAAAAACTGGCCAAATTACATATGTTATTTCCCAGGTAGAATGTTTTATATTAATTATCTGTATTTTTTTGAAGATAAAAAGTTCGATGAATGTTTCATAAACAAATAGATGATTTTAAAAACTGGTGCACTGTTTTAATGCATAAGCTTTGGGTTGGTTTGTTTTTCAGGAGTGTGGTAGAATATTTCAGTATGAAAAAGGGGTTGTTCTCCGTTTTTGTTGTTCTACTTTGTTCACTTTAGATAATAAAAATCCTGTAACTTTATTGCTTAAACATTATTCCTTCTTAGCTGGGCACTTGTGGCTCACCCCTGTAATCCTAGCTACTCAGGAGGCTGACATCTGAGGATCTCGGTTCAAAGCCAGCCCAGGAAGGAAAGTCCTTGAGACTCTTATTTCCAATAAATCACCAGAAAACCGGAAGCGGCACTGTGGCTCATGGGGTAGAGCACTCGCCTTGCATTGAAGAGCTCAGGGACAGCGCCCAAGCCCAGAGTTCAGGCCCCATAACTTACAAAAAATAAAAACCAAACCAAACCAAAAAAAAAATATTCCTTCTTAGATGTGATTGCCTTCTGTATAATATCCAAAGGCTATGTTGGGAGCCACTGGTAATATTGAAAGTGTGAGGCTTGTTTTGGACAGAGATTGATCAGAGGGTTGTCGTTTTCATTGCTAGGAGAAGAGGTTTGACCGTCCTGTCGAGTGAGCTGTACAGAAGAGAACTTGGGGATCAGGAAATGAGTATTTCCAAAGAGACCATACTGCATGCTCATGTGACCAGTGGGAGTTCTCTGGGTTGATGCGTCTCTGGCGTGGGGTGGATCTGCATGCAGCATTCGCAGGAAGCTCGTCCATCTATGACGAGAGCCCACGACGTCACAGACACGGGGCAGCCGCCACTGCACAGGCGTCTCTGTGTCCACTGAGTGTGCAGATTCTCCAACAAAACCCAATGACTGATTCAGAACCGAAGGCGTTTTGTTGCAGATGCCTATAATACCTATCAAAAAAAGCAAATTTCAAAAACACAGCCAACGTATGTTGAAGACTATGATACCTTTAACATACATAAATGATTTATTTGTATAACTATGTTTATCTTGTGCTCAAAAATACAAATTGCTGGCTGTGCATGGTGATGCACACGCCCTGTGCTGAGCGGACACTCTGGGCTGGCCTCAGCCACACAGTGAGACCCCGTCTTATAAACTCACTAGCTGGGTACCCATAGCTCACACAGGGGATGCTAGCTATTCTGGAGGCTGAGATTTGAGGATTGTTGTTCAAAGCCAGCCTGGGTAGGAAAGTGTGTGTGTGTCTGTGTGTGCCAGTCCTGGGGCTTGAACTCTGGACCTGGGTGCTGTCCCTGTACTTCTTTTGCTCAAGGCCAGTGCTCTACTCCAATAAACTACAAAAAATCCAGAAGTGGAACTGTGGCCAAGGGGTAGAGCACTTAGTCTTGAGCAAAAAAATTTCCGGTCCTAAGATCAAGTCCCAGGACTGGTACACCAAAAAAAAAAATAGGTTAATTAAATTTAGTTTTTTAAAAAGTGCAACAAAAAAAAGATAGAGCCGGGTGCCATTGGCTCACGCCTGTAATCCTAGCTACTCAGGAGGCTGAGATCTGAGGATCGAGGTTCAGAGCCAGCCGAAGCAGGAAAGTCTGAGACTCTTATCTCCAATTAACTACCAGAAAACTGGAAGTGGCACTGTGGCTCAAGTGGTAGAGCACTCACCTTGAGCCGAAGAGCTCAGTGACAGCACCCAGCCCAGAGTTTAAGTCTCATGACTGACCAAACAAACAAAACCATAGAGATGACTTTTTTGCCTGTCCTTGGTAATCTACATTATTAAAAATCAGAGAGTGGGATATTAAAATGCTTTGTGGAGCTTGGAAGTTTAACAGTATGTTCTAGAAAACAGCCATCTGACTCAAAGGTGTGTTGCAGATGTTCAGGAGCACTGGGTCTGCCACACCAGGAAAACTGGGTTGCCTAGGGCTCCAGTGGGACACTGTAAGGGCACTGAGCAATGGTCTCAGGAAGGGGCCCTTCACAGCCCGCTCAACTTTAATACTTCTGTGGAAATATAACATTCTTACCTCTATCATTCACGAAGCCAGTCTACCAGTGTGTGTGAACCAAGAGAAAGGATCCCACTGCTGGAGCTGTAAGTCATATTTTCTTTCTTTTTTAAAAGACAGACTATTTCTGACCTTGACAGTTTAAGAAAATAGACAAAGGGCTCCAGAGGAGGTTAGAGGTGATAGCCATGGTAGAAAGGAAAAATGGAAAAAAGGAAAAGAGGAAAAGAAGAGAGTAGGATCCACAGTCTCCTTCAAAAGCAGAAGGCCTCCTACTAGGTCCTAACTCTCACTGTTCCTACTGACTCCTGACAGCCCCTAGCGGGGATAAACTGAGCCCTCACTGCAGGTGCCTTTGGGGAACATCCTCCCAGGCCTAAACTGTAGCAGAGAGAGATTCTGGGCTGTTAAAATGCTTAAAATTCCACCTGACACATTTGCCCAGGGCAAGGCCTGACCAGTGGAACAACTCCTTATTAAATTCTAACCATGATTCACAGATCTGGAGAAGTGACAGCATGGTAGAGGGCAGCAGAGGACAGATTGCCAAAACCTTTGTGGAGGCTGTCCAGAGGTTTGCTTCGCTCACAGGTGCATCTCAGACTTCCCAAGCTCCCCATCTCTCCTCATCCAGGGAAGCACTCCCCAGCCAGTCTTGTGTCCCTCCGGTCTTTCTCCTCACCCCCAAGTTAGCGTGTGTTTTGTGAATAACAGTTCCTCGGCAAAAGACATTTGGGAAATACTACACACCGCACTGTCTTTTCAAGAGATTGCTGCTGCACCCAGGAGTACATACTGTCATCATACCTGAGGCATTCTGGGAAGGGAAGGCCCTTACAACTGACTCAGCCCCCTTTTGCAGTTCTCACCACCACCCACACTGCCACCCAGAAGCTGTGGACGGGAGAGAAGCCAATCCACAGGGAGGGCAGGCCCATATTGAGAAGAATGCAAAGATTTAACAGACTTACCAAAAAGATCTACTTAATATCCTGAGAGTTAAGGCTTTTGCTTAGATTTGGCTTCTTGGTACAGTTGTTCAGCTTCTGTCCTATCATTCGCCTGATGGAAACATCATCTGTGTTGGGAAATAATTGTTTTGTGACGCCTGCCAAAGAGGAAAGAACAGGAAAGCACTGTAATGTAGAACTGAGGAATGCCAAATATTCTGCCATGTAATTCTGTCTCCATTTTACAAAGGAAACCCAACTTCCCATGAGATACTTAAGTAGATGGATATGTAGGCAGGTTTCTCAGAGCAAAGCAAAAAATACCAGAAGGTCTATATCATAAATGGAGACCACCCAGTTTGTCTTTATGTGGTACTGTTCAGCTTTAGCCTTACTACTTGCTTTCAGCTCTAAGTTTATTTGTTCCGAAATGCTAGGGATTTATTTATCCATTTCTTTACATCAGTGAAAATGACTGGATTCCAACTGATTATTTTCTTACTATTATATATACACATGTATATATATATATATATATATATATAAAATCTACGTATATGTAAAACTTAAATCCTGACAATCTCTAAATTTATTGATACCTGCATGCTTCATTTTAGTGAAAAGTTTTTCTGGAATTTCCCCTTACTTAATGAGAAGGTTCAAATATGCTGAAATATTTTGTCCTTTCACAGAAAATGGGAAAGACAGGATAACGTGACTTCAGGTTCATATGAGAATACAAAGCAAGGGTGTGATCACCTATGATTTCCTGAACTTCGTTCTGATTCATGGCTGGTTTGACGGCTTTGTCTCTGGACGTGGAGGACTTGGCCCCCGTCAGGCTGTGCGTGGCCATGTACTCGTTAGAGTAAAGCACTTGCATTAAGTCATTAATGAACTTCTGAGGCTTGCTCTTATTACAGCGGGCAATCTGCCAATTTTCAATCTTGAACTGAAAAATAAATAATCATCACAGTGAGAAAAAGAAAAATGTGTAAGATACACAGAAAACAATATCACCATTCTCCAAGATGTATTTATAATATACTAGGGATTAGAGTTAGATGTCATCTTTGAGATAGTTCTCAGTCCTTCTGAAGTATTCCTTCTGGCATGTGTGTACATTCTTGTCACATCATTGGGACTGCCTTTAAGGATTAGTCTTCAGCACTTGACTGAGTGTGTCTGGCAGAAAAATGGCTCTCTGAAGAGGTACACTTCTTAGCTCTACTATCTGTGAACGTGTTGAAGAATGTAAAAAAAAATCATATATATATATATATATATATATATATATATATGATAGCACCTAACAGCCATTTTTGCTTCTGTATGAATTGCTTTGTGCTAGATGATTGTATGGTTTTTATGATTTTAACTGTAACTGGTTTTAGTTACTCAGTAGTGGAATGTCAGCCTGGGAGCCTAGAGTTGCTTAGTAAAAGACTTCAAAGGAGGAGGGGGGACCAAGATGGCGACGGGGCAGTGGGGAAACGCCACAGCTCTCTCCAACCAAAAAGAGAGTTCGAGTTCCAACGCTTAATCTCCCCAAGAGACCGACAACAACAAAAAGACGAACACTCAGAGAAAAACCAGAGGTGGAAAATAACAAAAAAAGAAAGAGAGGAAAAGAAGAAATTCAGAACAGAGAAGAGCGAAGACCCCTCCCCCAACCTTTACTGGCTGCGCGGCAGTGCGCCAAGCCGCCGGCCAGCCGGCCCGGCGGGGGCTGCCGGAGCCACAGAGACACAGGGGGCTGCTTGCAGATCACCAGGTACCAGATTGCAGAACAGCGGATCGCCAGGAACAGAGAAACCTACCAGCCGGGAGTCTCCACGAGGATCCCACCCCCACCCCTCACTCTCCACCGGAGCGGAGAGGCTCCATCCCGCCAAAGCCGCCGGGCACCAGCAGTGCGACAAAGGGACCTGTCGGCAGACCACCCGCCCAATCGCGATCGCAACTACCCGGCGGGGGGCGGCCCAACCCAGCCCGCAACCACCCCAACTGAACTCGGATTGCAACAACAACTGACGACCTACAGGGTGAGTACCAAACAGGGGACAGTGAATCCATCAAGGGAGACCAGAGCTGGAGGGAATCCCCAGACCCTGACCTAGACTCCCTACCCCAACACCTGGACCACAGGACCCACTAAAACTGGGAACTGTTCGAGAGCTCCACCAGCCGGTGGAGCACACTCTGCTGGCCAGGCCAGAGCAAGAGCGCCCCTGGAAGGGAGCTTAAATGCCCAAGCCAGGAACAGCGCCCCTGGGTCAAGACTACCAACAGTAGAAGAAATTTAAACTGTGTCCTCCAGGCTGCATAACCTAGGTGGTATACACATTAGCACAGGCCTAACGAGCGCGCTCCAGGCTGGGGCCGGAACCAGGCCCGGGGACCGGCGCCTGAACAAAGCAAAAAGGGTCAGAAGTGGGGCTGTGGCTCAAATGGTAGGGTGCCAGCCTTGAGCTGAAGAGCTGAGGGACAGCACCCAAACCTAGAGTTCAAGCCCACAACCAGCCCAAAACAAACAAACAAAAACACATTAGGAGCCCATAGCAGACTCCAGTATTTGGGAGAGTGCATCCAGAGCATCTGATCTTCCCAAGAGCACCTGCAGGAGCAAACACAAGCAGTCTAGGCTGCTCAACCCTTCCAAAGGCGGGAATTGCCAGCAATCTACAGCAGAGAGCTGAGAATCCTAAGTAAGTCAGAATAGCAGCTGGAAATAGGCTCCCAACAGAATCCAGATCAGGCACAGACTCTCTCTACCAATACAGAATCAGCAACCAAGCAAAGACAGACACACCAAAACAAGATTGAAGAGCAGTCTCCTGAACCCCCATGCGAAAATCACAGAGAAAAATCACAAGGTTTACCACTACCCAGGACAGCAAGCTCAACTCAAAAGCCAGCAGCCACGCAGGGGAGAGCCCCAGTGGGAGCAAAGCAGGAATGGAAGACAAAAGCTACATCCAAGGGTTGCTGGAGGCAATGACTCAAGAAATAAGGCGAGAAATGGATCAGAAATTGAAAGAGCACAAGGATGAACTATCAAAAGATATACAGGACATCAAACAAAAGTTGGATGCAAAAATAGAAGCTGCACAAACCTCAGTAAGAAGTGAGATAAACGCCAAATTAGAGGTAATGCATACTGATCTCACCTCATTGAGAGGTGAGATCAGTACTCTGAGAACCAACATTGAATCCATAAAGGGATCCATTTCCACCATGCAAACCACAATAGAAGCCACGGTCAACAGAGTGAATGAAATGGAAGGTAGAGTGTCAGATACGGAAGACAGAATACACCAACTGGACCAAAAAGTGACAGATATGGAAAAATCACTCAAATTAAACCAAAGGGAAATTCAAGAGCAAGCAGATAATGCTAAAAAATTTAACCTTCGCATAATCGGAGTGGACGAAGGTGAGGAATTCCAGAGCAAGGGAATGCAACACCTATTTAACAAGATAGTCAATGAAAATTTTCCCCACCTCAAAAACGACCATCTTAACTACATCACAAAAGCTTATCGAACACCCAACAAGCAAGATCCCAGGAGAAACACTTCTAGACACATTATAGTAAAAATGATAGATCTGAATAATAAGGAAACAATCCTGCATGCAGCAAAAATGAAGAAGGAGCTATACTACAACGGGAAAAAAATTAGAATCACTGCAGATCTCTCCACACAAACAATGAATGCAAGAAAAGCCTGGGAAAGCACCATATGAGCCCTGAGAGCCAATAACTGCCAACCCAGACTGATATACCCGGCAAAGCTAGCATTCACATTCGATGGAGAACTGAAAACTTTTAATAGCAAAGAAAAACTAAATGAATACATAAACATTAAGCCAGCATTACAAAGAATTCTAAGAGGGGGGACACAACCTGAAGAAAGCAACCAGGAACTTGGACCTGCCCCAAAGAGGCATTACTCAAAGTCTAACTGAGCAAGCACAGGAGGAAAGGAAAGAAGAAAAACTTAGGAAAACAGAATGGCAGGGACAACAATGCATCTCTCTATACTTTCTCTGAATATAAATGGGCTGAATTCGCCAATTAAAAGAAAACGAACTGAGGACTGGATCAGAAAACAAGACCCATCCATCTGTTGCCTTCAGGAGACCCACCTCTCCGCCAAACATACAAACAAACTCAGAGTGAAGGGGTGGAAAAGGATCTACCAATCAAATTCCCCCAATAAGAAAGCAGGTGTAGCTATCCTGATATCTGACAAAATAAACTTTTCATTAAAATCAGTACAGAAAGAGAAGGACAGACACTACATATTAATAAAGGGAACAATCCAAGAGGAGGATATAACCATCATCAACTTATATGCCCCAAATATCGGTACACCCAGATATGTTAAACAAATGCTCTCAAACTTACAGAATAAAATAGATCCCAATACGATAATACTAGGAGACTTTAACACGCCACTCTCACCAAAGGACAGGTCTACCAACCAGAGGATTGGCAAAGAAGCTACCGAATTAAGTGAGGCCATACTTCAAGCGGAATTAACTGACATCTACCGAGTATTTCACCCTAAAACAACACAGTACACATTCTTCTCAGCAGCTCATGGAACTTTCTCCAAAATAGACCATATCACAGTTCATGCAAGGAACTTAAGCAAATACAAAGGGATCGACATAATCCCCTGTATCCTATCTGACCACAGTGGAATCAAGCTAGCTCTCAATAACAAAGCATACCGCAGAAATTTCTCTAATACATGGAAATTGAACAGCACACTCCTTAACAAGGCCTGGGTAACAGAAGAGATCAGAGAAGAAATAAAGCATTTCCTACAACTCAATGAAAATGAAAACACCTCACAAAGAAACTTGTGGGACACAGCAAAAGCAGTCCTGAGGGGCAAATTTATTGCCTCAGTGCCCACATCAAGAGAATGGAGACAGACCAAGTAAATAATCTCATGTTGCAACTAAAACAGCTAGAAAAACAAGAAAAAATGGGACCTAAAGCTACCAGACGAAGCCAGATAACCAAATTGAGAGCAGAGATTAACCAATTAGAAAATCAGAAAACCATAACCAAAATAAACCAAACAAAAAGCTGGTTCTTTGAAAAAATAAACAAAATTGATGGCCCGTTGGCAAGATTAATTAAAAAAAGAAGAGAGGAAACCCATATTAATAGGATTAGGGATGCCACGGGAAACATCACAACACGTACACAAGATATCCAAACAATTCTAACAGACTACTTTCAAAAGCTATACTCTCTAAAGGAAGAAAATCTGGCGGAAATGGATGCATTTTTAGAGAAATACAAGTTACCCAAACTGAGCAAAGAAGAAGTTAACCAATTAAATAAGCCAATATCCTATGAGATACAGGAAGCTATCAAAAGTCTTCCAACAAAAAAAAGCCCAGGACCAGATGGATTCACAGCAGAATTCTATAAGACCTTTAAAGAAGAACTAATACCCATACTCCTCAAGCTCTTCAGAGAAACAGAGAAGGAGGGAGCTATCCCAAACTCATTCTACGAAGCCAATATCACACTCATCCCCAAACCAGGCAAAGACCCAACCAAAAAGGAGAATTACAGGCCAATCTCCTTGATGAACACAGATGCAAAGATCCTTAACAAGATTCTAGCTAACAGAATCCAGAAACACATTAAAAAAATAATACACTATGATCAGGTAGGCTTCATCCCAGAGACACAGGGATGGTTTAACATACGTAAGTATGTTAAATAAATGTAATCCAACATATCAACAGAGCCAGGGTCAAGAATCACATGATTATCGCCACAGATGCAGAAAAGGCCTTTGATAAAATTCAACATTCATTCATGCTAAAAGCTCTGGAGAAAATAGGAATAGAAGGAACATTTCCAAAAACAATAAAAGCCATTTATGACAGACCAATAGCCAATATTATACTTAATGGGGAAAAGCTACAACCAATCCTCCTAAAAACAGGAACAAGGCAAGGATGCCCACTGTCTCCACTCCTCTTCAACATAGTCCTAGAACCCTTAGCCAGGGCAATAAGGCAAGAAAAAGACATTAAAGGGATCCGCATAGGGAAAGAAGAAGTGAAACTATCCCTTTTTGCAGACGACATGATACTATACCTCCACGATCCCAAACTTTTAGAAATCATAAGTCACTTCGGCAAAATAGCAGGATACAAAATAAACCCACAAAAATCAGTTGCTTCCTATACACCGATAACGCACAGGAAGAGAGGGAAATAAAGGGAGCAACCCCATTCACAATAACCTCCCAAAAAATAAAATATTTAGGAATTAACCTAACCAAAGATGTAAAAGAACTATTTAATGAGAACTATAAAAAGTTAAAGAAAGAAATTGCAGAAGACACTAGGAAATGGAAAGACCTCCCATGCTCCTGGATAGGCCGACTTAATATAGTAAAGATGGTGATACTTCCAAAACTAATATACAAATTCAATGCAATTCCTATTAAAATCCCAATGACGTACATCACTGAAATACAGAAAACAGTCCAAAAATTTATATGGCACAACAAAAGACCTAGAATAGCCAAAACAATTCTAGGGGATAAAGACAATATGGGAGGGCTATCCATGCCGAACTTCAAACTCTACTACAGAGCTATAATCACAAAGACAGCATGGTACTGGCACAAAAACAGACCCGAAGACCAATGGAACAGAATAGAAGATCCAGATATAAATCCACAGGCCTACAGCCAGCTGATATTCGACAAAGGAGCCAAAGACATACAATGGAAGAAACACAGCCTCTTCAACCGCTGGTGCTGGGAAAACTGGGCAGCCACATGCAGAAAACTAAAAGTGGACCCCAGCCTATCACCATGCACCAACATCAACTCAAAATGGATTAAAGACCTTAACATTAAACCTGAATCTCTGAAACTACTGCAGGACAGAGTAGGAGAGACACTTGAACTAATAGGCACAGGAAGGAACTTCCTGAACAGAGTCCCAGGGTCACAACAAGTTGGAGAGAGACTCGACAAATGGGACTACCTTAAAATAAAAAGCTTCTGCACAGCTAAATCTATCGCAACTAAGCTAGAAAGACAACCAACTAATTGGGAAAAAATATTTACCAGCAATATATCAGACAAGGGGTTAACATCCTGTATATACAGGGAACTCAAGAAACTAATCCCTCCCAAACCTAACAAACCAATTACTAAATGGGCAAGGGAACTAAAGAGGGACTTCTCAAATGAAGAAATAAAAATGGCAAAGAAACACATGAGGAAATGTTCATCATCCCTGGTGGTGAAGGAAATGCAAATAAAGACAACCCTGAGATACCACCTTACCCCAGTCAGAATGTCCCACATCCACAAATCAGCCAACGACAAATGCTGGAGGGGATGTGGAGAAAGAGGAACCCTATTACACTGCTGGTGGGAATGTACACTTATACAACCACTTTGGAAAGCAGTCTGGAGGGTCCTTAGAAAGCTAAAGATTGACCTCCCTTACGACCCAGTCATACCACTTCTAGGCATCTACCCTGAACAACAGGAACCAATATACAAGGACACGTGCACCTCCATGTTTATTGCAGCACTGTTCGCAATAGCTAGGATATGGAAACAACCTAGGTGCCCCACCACAGATGAATGGATCCAAAAATTGTGGTATCTGTACACAATGGAATATTATGCAGCCATTAGAAATGACAAAATAATGGCATTTGCAGGGAAATGGATGGAGCTAGAAGGAATCATGTTGAGCGAGGTAAGCCAAGAACGAAGAGACAAACGGTACATGGTCTCCCTGATAAGTGGATGCTAAATCCAAAATGTTAGGTGATATGACAAAACTAACAGGACTTAAGAAACAAAGAACTCCCGCTCATCTGGTTGAACCACTACTAAATATCCCCATGCTGCTGATCACAAATATGGTATATAACATGTGAACACTGTTATATATTACAGACTGTGGTAGACAATTTGCTCCAGAGAAGTTAGAATGAACTTGTGACTTTGAAATTATGTAATCATTTAATCACAATCAAAAAAAAAAAAAAAAAAAAAGAACCTCGGGGAAGGGAGGGAGGGAGAGGATGGTTGGGGAAAACAATGGAGGGGGTAACAATGTTCAAGAGGAAGTGTACTCATTACCTCACTCCTGTAACTGTAACCCTCTGTATAGTAGCTTTACAATAAAAAAAAAAATAAAAAAAATAAATAAATAAATAAAAGACTTCAAAGGCTTTACAGTCTTGACCAAGGGTGCAAAGTCCTCAGAATTATCCCCACAGCTGCAACACCCCTCCCGGAGGCCGAGGCAGTAAGGCCCTAGTGAAGAAATATAATGGTTTAAGAAACCTAAGCAACTCCATTTTTGTTTAACACTCCATCTCAGTTCTGCGACTTGACTCGTGATCCACTTTAGCCCCAATGCTAGGAATTTATGGCAGAAGACCATGCATTCTGGACCAAGGACATTTTTCTGTGAAGGTCAACCAATCATTATTTGCCCAGTTTAGCTTGCTTTAAATGTAAATGTTAACCAATCATGTAATTTCTTATGTAAAAGTTCCTTAAAGTTGTCCTCTTAGAGTCACCGGTTACCATGGGCGCAGAGGACCAAGCTCGAGCTTGCAATAAACTGGCTCTTTGTTGCTTACATTGATCGTGGTCTCTGGTGGTCTTCTGGGGGTCCCCGAATTTCGGTATAACAGTGTTCTATCACTGGGCAAACAAGTCCATAGATGTGGCTGATGTTAAGGATCTTGGGATAGAAGATTATCTTGGAATACCTAGGGGGGCCCAACATAGTCACACTAGCCCTTAGACAAAGAAGAGTTATGCAGAAGTAGAGGTCCAAAAGGAAAGACAGGAGAGGGAAGATGAGACTGAAAGGGAGCAAATGGATCGTGGATGCCTTTGAGGATGGCAGAGTAGCCCGAGACCCAACGAAGCAATGAATGTCACTGCTTCTGGAGGTAGGAGTGGCCTGCAGGTTATAGCCTCCGAGAAAATATGAAAATCAGGTCTTGGACTACAAACTAAACTCTACCACAGGAACTTAACTGTGCAGGAAACAGATTCTCCTTGAGCCTCGGTAAGGAATCCTTGGTGCCAGTCCTGTGATAGGGCACAGGACTTCAGACCTAAAGACCCCAAGATCATCAAGTGATTCACTGTGATAATCAAGTAGTGGTTATTTAAAATCACTACACCTGTGGTAACCTATTACAGAACAATAGGAAAGCAATAGACTAAGTTTAGGTCCAATTATACATCTATTACTATTTAGTTGTCACTTTGAAGGCACAGTTCCTCAGCTTGATAGGGGATTTCAACAAACTCATTTTTGAATTTTTGCTTAACAAAAAGTAGAGAAAACAGAAAGACTGGTACTTAGAGACATGCAAGTACTGAAATTTATCTTCACTCAATGACAGAACATTTTATAACAATGTGTAGGCGTCCCTCTGTTCATGGTCTAAGAATTTCCCAGTTTAAAAGCATCACCTTGGTCCATAGTTTTCCATTCATTTTCTGAACTGGGTATTCGCTTCATAATATTAATTTTTATTCTAGAAGCAAAACAATTCTTGTGGCAGGAACATAAGGCTTTGGCATCTAAACTTGCCTGGAAGGCACTGAGGAGACAATGTAGTTTTCCAGCCCTCCCTGAAGTTTTGCTACCTAACTATTCTCCAGGACAACCTGGCCGGTGTGCTGCTAACCTGCTTCTCCTCCTCAGCCTTGAGGGAACTCGGGGAGCTGGAGTCAGAGCCAGAAGGACTGCAGACAGAGGTCAGTGAGTCCGGAGAGGAGCTGCTGGCCGCCCTCCAGAGGGTGGACGCAGGTGTAGGCACGGTGCTCCCCCCCTTCAGCAGGGTCTCTGCCATGCCAACCAGTTCCTCAAACTGGACAACGGCCTGTGGCAACACTAAAATGGAAGAGCAAGGAGCAGTTACAGAAACAAGAATGCCCGGTACACGCACTCACGCCTTTATTGCGTGTGGAGATGCCCAGAACCACGTGGAATGAAGGCTTAACATTTGCTACCCCTGAGAAGCCAACATGGGGGGAGGGTGGAACATATTAACTCTTATTAGTACTGTTAGCAATTATCATTATTAATTAATTAACTACTAAATAATAGTATCAATTTAAAATGCTTTGGTCATTGGAACATAAAAACACTGTTTTGAAAACTTAATTCTTTTTTGCTAAATGCTGAGACTATTACTTGGAGATGATAAATTTTTATTTAGAGAAAGTACTGATTCTGTTATCAATCACCTTCTAGAAGCCCATAATAGAGCAGTGTAAGTGCTAAGAAAGGACCTCTTCTTAAATTAGGCATTTATCATGACTTAAAATGAAATTGCTGCTGGGTGCTGGTGGCTCACACTTGTTATCTTAGCGACTCAGGAGGCTGAGATATGAGGACCACGGTTCCAAATCAACCCAGGCAGAAAAGTCCAGGAGACTCTTTTTTTTTTTTTGGGTCCGGTAGTGGGGCATGAACTCTGGGCCTGGGCGCTGTCCCTCAGCTCTTCAGCTCAAGGCTAGCGCTCTACCACTTGAGCCACAGTGCCACCTCCGGCTTTTTTCTTTTTTTTTGCTTATGTGGTGCTGAGGAATCGAACCCAGGGCCTCAGGCATTCAAGGCAAGCGCTCTACCACTGAGCCATCTTCCCAGCCCCTCCAGGAGACTCTTAACTTCAATAAACTACTCAAAAAAAAAGTTAGAAGTGCCCGGCGCCAGTGGCTCTTGCCTGCAATCCTTGCTAATGAGGAGGCTGAGATCTGAGGATCACGGTTCAAAGCCAGCCCGGGCAGAAAAGTCTGTGAGACTCTTATCTCCAATTAACCACCAGAAAACTGGAAGTGGTGCTGTGGCTCAAGGGTAGAGAGCTCGCCTTGAGCAGAAGAGCGCAGAGACAGTGCCCAAGCCCAGAGTTCAAGCCCCACGACCGACAAAAAAAAAGTCAGAAGAGGCTCAAGTGGTAGAGTGCTAGCCTTGAGCAAAAGGAGCTTAGGGATAGCGTCCAGACCCTGAGTGGGGGCCCCCAAACTGGCAAAAATAAATAAATATAAATAAAACAAAATAAATTTGCCATGCCTTTTTTTTGTTTTTTGGTCCGGTCGTGGGGCCTGAACTCTGGGCCTGGGCGCTGTCCGTCAGCTCTTCAGCTCAAGGCTAGCCGTCTACCACTTGAGCCACAGTGCCACTTCCAGTCTTTTTCTTTTTTGCTTATGTGGAGCTGAGGAATCGAACCCAGGGCCTGATGCATGCAAGGCAAGCACTCTACCGCTGAGCCACCTTCCCAGCCCCTTGCCATGACATTTGTGTGTAGTTTTTTCAGGTAGTCAATTTCTGTCAAATTTATTAATAAGAAACCTGCATTATCACCAATTACGGATGGATTTTGGAAACCAACTGCAAAGTCTCTTTGCTCCTCTTTTGTTACTGGAAACTTACACATCCAAAAATTTCATGCCTCCATGTAAGAGAGTTTTCTCTGTTCTTGAATCAAACTTGTTTCCTAAGGACAAATAATCCACTGGAGTTGGAAGCGCCCTGCAACTCTGCCTAGCTCTGCTCTCCACTAGTGGTTGAAGGTATTGTACGTGGAGAGATGAAAAGACAAACTCTTTTTCTCTGTATTTTTCTTAAGCACATATTGAGCCATGATCTTTATGACAATTGATGACATATCCAGTCAGCCTACCTGGTACTATAAGGATAGACAAATTACCTAAAGAATATCTTATCCTTCGATCTGGCCAAAGCATACTAAGTACCTCTCACATGACAGACATGTATTTCATCATTAATTATTTAATGAACATTTAATAATAATACTACTAATTACTGACCTAGTGTTTACTCTGCGACACATTTTTTTTTTTTTTTATGGAATTGGGATTTGAACTCTGGGTTCATTTCATGTAGTATAGTGTACATGTAGTAAAAGTGTTTCATCTTTTGGTCTGTATTTATCAGTTTTCTAAGTCATTAATTGTTTTTTAGATGGCTATGAAGGCTTTTCTTTTTTTAATGTCATTGGAATGCATGCACTTAAACACACATTTCTATCTACAGTGGTCAGCATTGTGTTTGATGCCCAAACCGTCCCAACTCTGGCCAGTGGGAAGCTCTCCTAACTGATCTATCCAGGTGGCCTTCGCTAAACTTGCTTTCCAGGTATGACATGATGTTCACAGGAACTTCCTGTGCCAAGCACCTGCCAAGTGTCCCGTGTGAACTCTCTGTGTGAGACCTACAGGCAGCCTTTTCTGCAAGAATCTTCAGAGTGTGTGGTGGTAAATCACATTACAGGATTACCTTAAGCTGCTCAAAATGCTCGTGGCTATTGGCTCCTTGTTTCTAGGACCATTCAATGAATACTATTAGGAAACAAGATATTAATTTTTAAAGAAAAACCTTATCATGTGTTCAACCCGGTACTTCCCGTTCACATCCAGAAAACAGAGTTTTTATTTAAACCATGTAGCTTTTTTTCATGTATCACATAGTACAAAATGACAAACTAACTCAATTTCAGGCTTCCCAATACTGTTGAATAATTCAGCTCTATCTAGGAAAACATTCAGAATAGAGTCTGGCTCATAGAAAGTGCTATGTAAGATTTTGTTACTATACAACTTAATGTTAACATATCTCACTCATCTTTTGTTCAAAACGTTCTTAATCTAGCCAGTTTATGCCTTGAGGTTAAGAATAGATTTGGCCAAATACTTTTTAAAAATTAAAAAGATTATCAGTACTTTGATTGGCAACGTCTTCAAACTATTACCTACTTTAAGGATTGGTGTATTTCCTCCAATCTAAGAATGTCTCTCCATTTATTTAGGTTTGTATATTCTCAGTTTTGTATTTTTCTTCACAAATCCCACATGTTTTTGCTAGGGTTGTGAGTCTATATTTATAGATGTTTTTTATTAATGTGATTAGCTACTCTTTTTTCTTCTTTTAGGAAAATACTGGCCATTTCTGTCATAAAAGAAAATTACTAATTAAAAATGATTACTAGATAGTGGACATCTATTACATATCAGGGAGTTCGTAACTAATTAATTTTCTTGCAGTATGTTTTTTTTTTTTTAACTTCTGAAGGCTCTGGATTTCCCCTTCCTTCCTTCCTTCCTTCCCTTCTGTGCTTTCCTTCAGTGTGTGTGAGTGTGTGTGTATGTGTGTGTGTCTCGAGGCGGGGGGTGGGGGGTGGGACTTGAACTCAGGGCCTGGGTGCTGTCCCTGAGTTTTTCCTCAAGGCTGGCACTCTACCACTTGGGACACAAATCCACTTCTGGTTTTTTTGGTGGTTAATGGAGGTAAGAGTCTCACAGACTTTCCTGACCATGCTGGCTTTGAACCTTGATCCTCAGACCCCCTCCTCCTGGGTCGCTAGTGAGCCACCAGTGCTGGCCCCCTTTCATTCTTGACTGGATTTACAATCCTGTTCACTGACCACGTATCTTCATCAAAACACCAACCTTGTAGCATGACCAAAGACTGCCGCAGCCGGCTGTTCTCCTTCCGGGTGTTGGCCAGTCTTTCTCTCAGGGTTCTTATCTTGGCACACAGTTCCTCCTTGGACAGCTCTGCCAAAGGTGCTTCGTCCTCACTGGAGCTCTCCCCGGGCAGAAAGGCGTTTCCTGAGTAGGGATTCCTCTGCAAGGCCAGGCAGGCGCACAGGGAGGCGTGAGCCCCGCAGGCCAGGCCAGGCCACTTTCCACTGACTCGCTCAGCCTCCTCTGGCAGGCACGAAGCTCAGGACAGAGAATGAGGATGCAAGTCCTGGGGATTGAACCCAGGGCCTCCTGACTGCCAGGCAAGTGCTCACCACGTAAGCCACACCGCACCCCCTAGGTCTTTTCCTCCTAGCAAGTTTTAGCAGGTGCTTACAAAAGAAGGAATCTAGGAAAAAGGGAATCCACCTGTAATCATCAATGGCAGGGAGGAATTAAAGTTGGCATATAAAATATCAGATTGGTAGAGGATATTTGTAATATCTCATACCTAATCTCAATACTCAAATTGAGACAGGAGACAGGTATCTGTAGAAAGAATAGAACAAGAAACCTACCAGAAGTGACCGAGGAAACCAAGAAAGAAGGCAAGACACTCAAAGGGAAGCTAATCCATTCTGAGCTGGGAGCAGCCGGGAGCTAAAGGCCTCCTTTGTGGTTCACCATGGCCACATGACCAAGCCCCCATGGAGCAGAAGCACGTGGGACGGACCCCACTGTCCCTAACTCTGCAGGGGTGGCATGTCCTTGCCTGATTCTTCCTCCTCGGAGAGGAGGGCAAGCTGAGAGACTGGAGAGGTCCTGTTAGACACAGCCAGGGCTGCGTAGCAAGGAAAGCAGATCCAGGCATGTAGGGACCGCCACCGTGACTCCACGCCCTGGCCTGTGGGAGGGGACACAGACCTCTGCCTTGCAAAAGCCACGGCTCTGTTCCCTGGGGTCCTTGCAATGCTGTGGCATGCAGTGGCGTGCGGCCGCAGGGCCGCCTGAAGAGAGCCTCAAGTCTGTGTGGACACGCAGAGGTCAGGGGTAGACTCTTTCACTCATGACTTGTGCTGTGCTACACCGTGATGACACATTTGGTAAAAGCATGACTGGGGTTTTTGGGCAGGCAGACCACGTGGCCACTGAACAGGGAGGGAGAACTCTGGGGTGCTTCACCTCTTGTCAGGGTCACAAATCTACATGTGGACACAGAAAGTTCTGGTATAGCACCCACTGCATGAGCTGAGTCCAGTCATATGACATCCATAGGCTTGAGAAACCCATAATCATTTCTACAGCCGAATGGCGGGAGACAGTAACAGTAACCTCAAGGCTTCCTCATGAACACAGTGCACGTGTTACCCGCAGTGCAGCGGCCCTGGCTGTGAGCAGGGCGGATAGGCCCAGGCATGGGAGGAGACTTTTCACTGTCCACCCCCAAAAATACTTCACACCACAAGAAGACATACTGTTCATCTGAAGATTGAAGATTATATGAACATAGAATTCTGTAGTTATTACAACATTTTCCAAATACTCATGCATTATGGAAACATGGAGATCAAATACTACAGAATAAATACAATGACTGGCTATCCAAAGTTCTGGAGGAGGCAGAGGGGAAGCTGGGCTGGAATCTGAAAAGAAAAAGCCCACAATGAGCCAGCCACCAGTGGTTCACTCCAGTAATGCTAGCCATGCAGGAGACTGAGACTGGAGGATTGCTGTTCAAAGCCAAACTAGGCAGGAAAGTCCCGGAGACTATTATCTCCAATTAACCACCAGAAAACCAAAAGTGGTGCTATGTCTCAAAGTGGTAGAATAGTAGCCTTGAGTAGAAAAGCTCAAACCCCATAACCAACAAAAAGAAAGAAAAGAAAAATCCACAGTGAGTATCAAAAAAGAAATATTCTAATTTTTCCAGTATTTAGAGGGAAGAAAAATACTTAGGATTTTTTGGATCTTTAATTTTCAAGAAGGTCTAGTAAAATTTGAACAATGGCATATTTAACCACAGCTAAACAGAAGTAGGCAAATTGTTGAGTATGGCTCTAACACAAACTGCTCAACACTTAGAAGGACATGCAGCTGTCTATTCCTTTAGTTAAATAAAGAGTCAGAAGAAGAAGGAAAAGTGCCAATGAATTATGAGAGGATTATGGAAGCACTGCTGAAACTAGACATAGGCAAGAGACCCACCTGTCCTTTATCCACGACACTGTTTGCATTTTCTGTATCTGTTGTCTCTACTCTTTTCCTCTTTCCTTTTCTAAGAGCTTGGGCATCAGCAATTTCATCTGTTTGCAAGATCTTCTGCATTTTCTCAACGAGTTAGCTAAGGTTTTCTCAAATCGAAGGAGGCAGGAATGCCATGTGGACAACGCTATTCCCAGTGTAGTCCCACAGACACGGTTTTCCTTTAAGGGGAAAGCAGAATGAGACAGGGAGTAAATCAACCGCCAAGGGTGGTTCACAATGCCCTCCTGACCTTTTGCTAACTGCTTCCCTCCTAAGGGTATAAAGTGTTTTCCAGAAAAAAAGTTATAATAACATTTTAACTATAAAAAGAACTGAGCTTAAAAACTTTCAAGAAACATGTATAAAACTGAATATGAGGTAACTTTTATTTCTCATCAAATTATGCTGAGTAATGACATTAGTAGCTATGGTTCTTTTGCCTATCTGAAGTGAAAGTCAATACATTCTTTTCCAAGCATAAAAGCAATATGTGTGCTGAGCATCGGTGACACCTGTCATCCTAGTCACTCAGGAGGTTGAGATCTGAGGATCTTGGTTCAAAGCCAGCCCAGGCAGGAAAGTCTACGAGACTCTGATCTCCAATTAACCACCAGAAAATCAGAAGTGGCGCTGTGGCCCAAGTGGTAGAGTAGCAGCATTGAGCTGAAAAGCGCAGGGGCAGTGCCCAGACCCAGAGTTCAAGCCCCAGGACTGGTAAATATAAAAATAAAAATTCACTCGTAGTTCCTGCTATCTAGCTAAATAATTCATCATATCGCTATCCCCCCATTAATTTAATTAATAACAGAAGACTCTCCGTTAATTCCCTATGCAGCTTCCAGAGATGAACTTTGTGAGAGATGCCAGAATAAAAGTGAAATCGCTTTTGTCAAACCCTCGTCAATCACTCAAATGCTGTGAAGCCAGGAGGACTGGAAGGTGGACTGTCCGGCAAGCCCGGGCTTCCCGAGTCCTCACAAGTGCCCACTGCCGCCGCGGCTTCACAAGGAGGTCCCGGTGACTCCACCTGCTGCTGGGCCTCACGGGGAGATTGGTGCTTCCGTGACCTCGGTGGTTCCCATCCATCCTGCAAAGACTTGGTCTGGCCTCGGTGGTTCCCATCCCATCCTGCAAAGACTTGGTCTGATCTCGGTGGTTCTCATCCTGCAAAGACTTGGTCTGGCCTCTGTGGTGGTTCCCATCCATCCATCCAGCAAAGACTTGGTCTGATCTCGGTGGTTCCCATCCATCCTGCAAAGACTTGGTCTGATCTCGGTGGTTCCCATCCATCCTGCAAAGACTTGGTCTGATCTTGGTGGTTCCCATCCCATCCAGCAAAGACTTGGTCTGATCTCAGTGGTTCCCATCCTGCAAAGACTTGGTCTGATCTCGGTGGTTCTCATCCTGCAAAGACTTGGTCTGGCCTCTGTGGTGGTTCCCATCCATCCATCCAGCAAAGACTTGGTCTGATCTCAGTGGTTCCCATCCTGCAAAGACTTGGTCTGATCTCGGTGGTTCCCATCCATCCTGCAAAGACTTGGTCTGATCTCGGTGGTTCCCATCCATCCCACCCTGCGAAGACTTGGTCTAGCCTCGGCCCCTGCGGTTCGTGGACCGCATGGTGTGCCACGCGTGTCGCCCGCGCTCCCACGCACCACTACTGTATTCTCAAATTAGCCAAGCCGGCCTTCGCAGGGCCTGCCGCCATTACTTCGGGTGACGGGTTGGGCATGGCCGTAGCAACACTAACACAGGCTGGATGACCAATGCAAGCCCGCCCCATCGTTCTCTACGTACCACATTGTCTAGGACAGAGAGGGGAGCAAATCCCCGTCTGACTCGGCCCGCACCCGCAGGCGCTCGGGGTCCGCACAGGACGGAGGGAACTCCGGGCAGGCCTCGGCCTTCCCCTCCCCGCGTGCTTTGTCCGGTTCTCCTCTTCCAGCTGCTCCACTGGTGTCGACAGGTGCTGAGCACGGCACCATTTCCTTTGCCCGGGCTGAAGGAGATCGCCCTGAGCCACAGTGAGACTAGAGGCCGGGACAGGGCGGGGAGCAGGCTCCAGCAGCGATCGGTGACGGTGGGAGCTCGGGCCGGGGTCTTTGCTCCGGGAGTCAAGCACGCGGCCCACGCGCCCTTGGAAAAGCCAGGTCTGGAATGGAGAGGAGCGAGCGTGGCGAGCGCACCAAGCCGGTCTCCTCCAATTCCAGCCGACCACGGCCGGCGGGCGGCGCTCACGTCCCCAATCGCTCTCCGCCTCTCTGCTCGGGTGGAGGGCCGGCAGGGGCGCAGGGGCCACGCCAGGCCGGGACAGGCCAGGGCAGGGCCGGGACAGGCCGCGCGCCTCCTCCACGGACCCTGATAAAATGGTGGACATGCTTCCGGAAGATTCCATCCATCGCGCGCCAAACCACGCCGATGGCGGCCAGTGCGCCGCCCAGGCCTGGCGCGGGGCAGGGCCCGGACCCGGACCCGCGGGAGGAAGGGTACTGCGTGCTCATGGGCACGCGGCCCGAGGGAACGTGCTGCGCCCGGCGCCCCGCAGGGGAGCTGACGGGAGCCCCGCAGGGGAGATGGCGGGAGGTGGCCGGCGCTTCGGCGGCATGGTCCCGCGCTCCTGCACGTGCCGCAGGATTCTAGGCAGGAGACCTGCGGTGGGCGCGGTGGCGTCATCACGTACGTGCTCGGAAACCCCGGGGTCTCGGCCGTGGTGACCGGAGGGCGTCGTGTCTGCAGCAGCCCCCCCAGGCGCCGTGTCTGCAGCAGGCCCCCCCAGGCGCCGTGTCTGCAGCAGACCCCCCAGGCGCTGTGTCCGCAGCTGCCCCCCAGGCGCTGTGTCCGCAGCAGGCCCCCCAGGCGCCGTGTCTGCAGCAGCCCCCCCAGGCGCCGTGTCTGCAGCAGGCCCCCCCAGGCGCCGTGTCCGCAGCAGCCCCCCAGGCGCCGTGTCCGCAGCAGCCCCCCCAGGCGCCGTGTCTGCAGCAGCCCCCCCCCAGGCGCCGTGTCCGCAGCAGCCCCCCCCAGGCGCCGTGTCTGCAGCAGCCCCTCCAGGCGCCGTGTCCACAGCAGCCCCCCCCAGGCGCCGTGTCCGCAGCAGCCCCCCCCCAGGCGCCGTGTCCGCAGCAGGCCCCCCCCAGGCGCTGTGTCCGCAGCAGCCCCCCCCCAGGCGCCGTGTGCGCAGCAGCCCCCCCCAGGCGCCGTGTCCGCAGCAGGGCCCCCAGGCGCCGTGTCCACAGCAGCCCCCCCCCAGGCGCCGTGTCTGCAGCAGCCCCCCCAGGCGCCGTGTCCGCAGCAGCCCCCCCCCAGGCGCCGTGTCCGCAGCAGCCCCCCCAGGCGCCGTGTCCGCAGCAGCCCCCCCAGGCGCCATGTCCGCAGTAGTCCCCCCCAGGCGCCGTGTGCGCAGCAGACCCCCCAGGCGCCGTGTCCACAGCAGCCCCTCCAGGCGCTGTGTCTGCAGCAGGCCCACCCCCCAGGCGCCGTGTCCGCAGCAGGCCCCCCAGGCGCCGTGTCCGCAGCAGCCCCCCCCAGGCGCCGTGTCCACAGCAGACCCCCCAGGCGCCGTGTCCGCAGCAGCCCCCCCCAGGCGCCGTGTCCACAGCAGACCCCCCAGGCGCCGTGTCCGCAGCAGCCCCCCCCAGGCGCCGTGTCCGCAGCAGACCCCCCAGGCGCCGTGTCCGCAGCAGCCCCCCCCAGGCGCCGTGTCCACAGCAGGCCCCCCAGGCGCCGTGTCCGCAGCAGCCCCCCCCAGGCGCCGTGTCCACAGCAGGCCCCCCAGGCGCCGTGTCCGCAGCAGCCCCCCCAGGCGCCGTGTCCGCAGCAGACCCCCCAGGCGCCGTGTCCGCAGCAGCCCCCCCCAGGCGCCGTGTCCGCAGCAGCCCCCCCCAGGCGCCGTGTCCGCAGCAGCCCCCCCCAGGCGCCGTGTCCGCAGCAGGCCCACCCCCCCAGGCGCCGTGTCCGCAGCAGCCCCCCCCAGGCGCCGTGTCCGCAGCAGCCCCCCCCAGGCGCCGTGTCTGCAGCAGGCCCCCCCAGGCGCTGTGTCCGCAGCAGGCCCACCCCCCAGGCGCCGTGTCCGCAGCAGGCCCCCCAGGCGCCGTGTCTGCAGCAGCTCCCCCCAGGCGCCGTGTCCGCAGCAGGGCCCCCCATGCGCCGTGTCCGCAGCAGGCCCCCCAGGCGCCGTGTCCGCAGCAGGCCCCCCAGGCGCCGTGTCCGCAGCAGGCCCCCCAGGCGCCGTGTCCGCAGCAGCCCCCCCCAGGCGCCGTGTCCACAGCAGGCCCCCCCAGGCGCCGTGTCTGCAGCAGGCCCACCCCCCAGGCGCCGTGTCTGCAGCAGGGCCCCCCAGGCGCCGTGTCCGCAGCAGCCCCCCCAGGCGCCGTGTCCGCAGCAGACCCCCCCCAGGCGCCGTGTCCACAGCAGGCCCCCCCAGGCGCCGTGTCCGCAGCAGGCCCCCCCCAGGCGCCGTGTCCGCAGCAGGGCCCCCCCCCAGGCGCCGTGTCCGCAGCAGGGCCCGCCGCCGCCTGCCTCCACCCTGGAAAGGCCGGTCGTCCCTGCGCTGCCGCACCGCGCCTCGCCGCAGCGCCGGACACTAGCGGAGGAACTGCGCTTCCACCAGCGTCTCCACCAGCCGCACCCCTCTCGCAGAACGCTAGGCCCCAACACAATATGCTGACTTTGATGGCAGGTGATTTACTAGTAAACCATCTTCCAGGGCCACCTTACGCAAGCAGGACCCCACTAAAAACGATCGGCTGTGTTGCACACCTCTGTCGGTTACTCCTGTACTTCCTATGTATATGTCATGTATCCAAACACCGCCAGGGATCAGCACAGTGCCTTATACCTGAATCCCAGCTTCGTGGGAGGGAGAGATAGGAAGATCATGATTGATGCCAGCTTGGGTAAGTTTAATGAGAAGGTTCATCCCAAAGCATGGTCGTTACCTTCTGTAACCGGGGCCACTCAGGAGATAGAGGTAGGAGGACTGTTGTTTGTGGCTGGCTGGAGCAAAAGTGAGCCCTATGTAAAAACTGTTTAAACAGCCAGGGGCTGTAATGCCAGCTACTAAGGAGGCTGAGCTCTGAGGTTTATGGTTTAACGCCAACCCTGGACAGAAACATTTATGAGACTCTTATCTCCAATTAACTAGCAAAAAGCTGTAAGTAGAGCTGCAGCTCAAATGGTAG